TGGCTGTGCACTTCCTCTGCCTCGAGTGGTTCAAGGCATAACACAGTGCCTGAGAGCAAAACCAGAGCAATCTACTATTCTACTGCACTCTAGTATTAACACATCTCTACCGAGATACCCTGGGCCTGATACAGGGGGGGGGGGAGGGGGAGAGGGAGGGGTGGCTTCCCAATTGAAAAAGGAAAGTTTTTGCGCACTATCACATCTGGCATAGTGTTGCGTGCCGGAGTTCACCATTTTGCACATCATACAGCTGCGGAAAGTGGATTGCAGCCTCCTTGCTGCCGACGAGAGCAAAGAGAACGTTGTGTTCTGTGATGGCATCTCCAACTCCAAGTACCGGGTCACATCTGTCATGCTGCACCACACACATTGCTCTCAACCCTGTTTGTATGTTGGCCCTGTGTGTGATCCCGCACCTTCTACCGTAATTTCTATTAGAGTGAGCATAACTCAACTGAACAGGTAGGGTGAGGATTCGCGAGCTTTCCGTCAATGCAAGCGCACGCAAATTTCAAAGTACAGTGGGGGAGGAGGAAGGAGGAACCAAGTAGCAAACACTTTCAATGCTTTCTGGAGAACATTTTTGCTTGCGCCTGCGCGCTTTATGCACGCGCCGCATGCATATGCGCACCAGGCACGCAAAAAAAACTGACATATCGACACACGAATGGCTGTGAACTGAGAACAGATTCAGTACATGATTTGCCAGACATCATGGCATCAGATCAGGCATATGAAATGACACACCTATGACGCGGCAGAAGAAGTGATTTGTGACCAGCCTGACGCAGAACCGGACAGATAAACTGACATATGCTCTGGCAAACCAGCTCCTCACTTGTCTGATGCTCGAGCCTGCCACGTGATGATCTCCCTTGACCAGAGCTGTGAGGATTGTAGATGGGCCCAGACTGTATTGAAGACGTCACGTGTGGGATGAGGAGCGGTCGAGGCTGGCGACAGTCGCAGGAACCAGCGCGGCATGGTGGAGCTGGGGTTTCGCGAAGATGAGAAGCGTCGAAGGAGGGCGAGGACCAGAGGGTTGCATTTTATATCTTGCATTGCAGATTGAGACCCTCGCCTGCAGTCGGAATAAGTGTACCCGTCATCGCAGGTCCTCCAAGCAGAACTTGTAGCCTATCCTGAACAAATGTGTTGGTATGAAAGCAGGCGAATAGGAGTGAGTGGAGGGCAGGGAGGAAGAGACGTGCGTATATGCATGCACACACGCATGCATGCGTGCCCTCGTCCTTGTGGCCGGTGAATGCACTGCATTGCTCGCTGCTTATGCTCAGGGGCTTCGCGTCATTCAGGAGCGGTGATTTTTTTTCTACCGGTAACACCTTCATCGACCGAAGAAGATCCATCTGAGCTGCACAGGTGAAGTAAACAGGCAACCATGCTGACCTTGTGCCTGTTCCAAAACAACTCTCCTGCTTCTTTCTTGGGAGCGTAGGGCGCAGCCCCCCCGGAGTCGAGCACCGCACATCTCTGTCCGCTGGCTGCGAACTTGTGACAGAACAACACCTTCTGTTGGAAACGCTGCAGCCTGAGACAGCTAGCCCTGTTTCGTAATGGCAAACCCATGGCCGCTGTCCTCTCGCAGCTCTCATGCCCTGGATTGTGATTCGGGCCACGTCCACTTTGGTGACGTCTCGGCATGGCGCGAAAAACTTTGTTTCGATTAAGCCCCTTCAGGCCAAGGGTAGCCCAGAAAGCTCACCTACTTGCAGTCTTAGTGGAATGCTTCCTGCCCTTGCCATCCTTCCACATACATACAAGGCATTGGGACAAATATCTCTTCGTCGAGCTGCTTTGTGGCACATGCATTTTCAGCCGCTACGCGCTTGAGGTCCAGACTATGATGGCGGTAGACACCGCCACTAACCAAGCCTTGCAAGGGTTCGGTCTGCACGGAATCTATGCTAGACTGCTTTTGCTTTTTGCTCCACATTAGCAGGGCTGGCACACGCAGGTTCGCAACTGTAAGGTGCGGGCACCATCGAACCTGCCGAGTCAGGACACAGCTGTACTTCGTATCACGGCATGTGCTACCTGCTGCCTGACAAAGTCTGTCTCAAAAATCTTGTGGTACCCAGGCGGAATGCAAGGAAGAGCCTCCTCGATGGGCGGTCCTGGCACTGGCCCGCAGGACGTCTCACGGATGTCATTGTACTCCGCCACCGTTTCAATCTGGCAGGACGCCAAACAGTGTACTGAGGGCTACAAACTCGATCGTTGCCAATTAACTTAATCCTTTCTCTGAACTGGGATTGCCAAATCAAAAGGTTGGCGCTGAAGGCCAAATCTTCCATGACAGCACAATGCAAGCTTGGGTGCAGCACCGCTTTGGTAGCAAGCACTTCCAGTGACCTGGCTTTTTTGAAGGTGTGGGATGACACCGGTGCTTTGTGATACCTACATGTTGTTTACAAAAGGATTTAAGCGGAGCACATAGAGCGACCCGGACAAGCAAGGCACGTCATAGTCCCCAAAAGGGTTTGTCAAAATGCTACTCAGGATATTGTGTGTTGGCGGCGCTGTCTCTATACACAAATAGTTCTCGTAGGAGAGCACCAAGGACGTGCAGAAGCATCTTCCATCAGGAAAAGGAAATCCTGCGATTTGTTAGTGTGTCTCGAGTCGTAAGCACTGTCACAAGCAGCAGCAGGAACACATCCAGGAAAAATAGCGTCCATGACTGTTTCAAGAATCGTAATTCAATTGAGATCCCCTCTTTGCTGAGCACCAGGCTCCAGAAAGCGATCCTCATCATACAAAGGCCCAGTACCCGGATCCGGTTCCGTGGAGTCCTAAACAGTCATGAGAACACGCAATGCAACTCTCCAGCTTCCAGCTTGGACTGGCTTGGCTCCCATACCCACGCTTCCTGTAGCGAGTAACGAGCTTGGGCAGCACATGTGTGTCATCTGGAACAGAACTCTGGACAAATCTGATCAACACTTGATGCAAATGGGCAGAGGCACAACCAAGAAATCACAAAACGCTTTCCCTGGCTCCGGCAAAGTGCGAAGGACTGGCAAAGACTACCAAGTCTAAAAATACTAACCCCTGCAGCTGGAGCGTGAACAGCCCGACCACCTGCCTCTGCCTCGCCTTTGGGTCCGACCACATAAAGCATTGCCACGTTCTTCGTGTGCCTGGGTTTCTCACTCTCTGCACCTGCTTGCTAGCTGGGCCCACGGCCGCAGGCTCAGAAAGTCTTGTCAACCCAGCTCACGCCAAACGGCTGAGCGGCCAATGCAAGGCGAACGATCAAGGACACTGCTGTAAGAGCTTTGATGCTCTGAGCCCTCTGCAGTGGACGCTGCTCCTGCTGAAAAATGTCAATGAAAACAGAGCCTGTCAGGATGGTAGCGATGAATGGCTTGGGAAAGTTGTTGCATCAGGTTTGTGCTCCAACCAATGTACCATCATGCTTGGCACGTTGGCAGCTCCGCCTATTGCCCCACGGAGTTCAGGCACGGCACCTGGCCGCGAGCTCTAGTAGACAGAGCATGACTCCAAAATGTATGCGAAAACAACATGGAACTGATCTCCTAACAGCTCTCTTCACACCCAACAATTTTTCCTGGCAGCCTGCCTTTCTCGTCTTCCAGCTCGACTTCCTGGGATGAATGACTGGTGTCTCTGTCTGCCTGAAACATGACAAACAGCTCTCATCTGGCTGTGCTCAGGGAAACGGCTACAGTAAAAACTTGTTTGCATGTCAAGTAACTGACCTCCGGAATTGCGACATATTTGTGACAAGCATCATCAGCTGCGCGGCCGAATGCTGCTAGTAGTGAAAGCTTTGGCCTTATTCTTTTGCAAGGCTCAGAGCTGCTTCGAAAGTGCAGGCCTCAAGCACCGAGCCTGGACCCCACAGCAGCACAAACTACCTGTTGCCTGCAAACCCCTCAGGAGCAAAACTCATTTTTGATGTTAGCCTTTGGCATTACACAACAGGAGAAAAGCAGCACATCTTTGCAAATAAACTTGGGCTTGAAGTCCACATAGGACTAGGACTAGGAAGCACGGGCGACGATATGATGCCAGCGGCTTGCTGTGCCTGAGGGGCTGGCAGCAAAGCCGCAGCCTTGGGCAAATCCCTGGCCTCAGCCGCAGGGCAGTTGAAAACCTCTCATTTCTCAACTGGTTGCTGTTCTGGCATGGCTGCAATGGAAGCAATTGTAGCGGCTGCGAGTGCGCAACAATAGTGGCACTGGTGCAAATGCAGTTGTGCCAGGAATGCTTGGATGGCCTGCTCGGGCTGAGTGCGCCGCTGACACTAGTTTCCGACCCGCCTGACGCATGCGGTCTGGATGCTTAGAAGATCTTGCATGGGATTCGCAGGTCTGCCTTTCTCAACCGTTCAATTCTGGTGATGCTTTTAACCGAAGCCTTCCGGCTGGCATGCAGCAGCTCCATGTGCAGCTGTCGGTAGTCCTATTAGTCATTTGTGGCAATCAATATCAAGTGGCCGCGACTTGCAATAGGGATGATAAACAGTGCGAACCCCACATTCTGAGGGAGAGGGGTTCAAGCAACACAGAAATCAGTCAAACCAACAAGAGCAAACAATCAAAACAAATCAAATGAACGAACAAACACCAGACAAGACAGTGACAATGAACAGGCAGCAAACAGGCGAGACAGAATGAGGCACAGCAAGAAAGAAAGAAACGGAGAAAGAAAGAACGAAAGAAAGACAGATACATAAATAAAGAAAACCCGAAAGAAATAAATAGAGAAGGCAATATACTAAAAAAGGAAGGAAGCAAGGAAGGAAGCTGGAAAAGAAGAAGAGAAGGAACAGATAAGAATAACAAAGTCACAAAAAGTGACAGGGAGTAAACGATAGCAAGAGCGAAAGAAAGAAGGAGCGAAACCACATAAATAAATACCCAACCTAAACCAAGCACGCAAAGACAGAAAGCAAGACAGAAACAAAGAAAGAAAGCAATCCAGAAAGATAACAAGGGTCTTTTCTCTCTTGATTTTGCCTGCAATGTTCGTGTTTAGCATCGCTTTGTCCTCGCAATCAGCCAAATGAGTTATATGCAAAACCTGAGATGAAAGTTATGACTTCCAAGTCTTTCAGCATAAGCTCCGACACCCAGACACCTCCAGCCTCACATCCGAAAACGTACATGTACTACCAGGGCAGTAGTTCCGACCCTTCCACATTGCGTTGGGAGCTCCGGCATAACAAAACCAAGATCTTAAGCTTTTTCACATGCCTTGCGCACGGAGGACTCGCAGCAGAAATAAATCCTTGGCTTCCGATCGGAGCCATGCCTGGAACTTGCAGCATGCTGGTTCTGACCTGCTCTCGATGCTGGCTAGGTTTCTAGACCACGATGTTTCATCACAAGTCGCATGTTTCAGCATGCTCATCAGCTTTCATGATTTTGATCAGGTTCATGGTCATGACATTGCATCAGTTTCACAAGTGTTCATCATGTTCCATGACCGGTCATCATTTTCACTACGTATAATCCATTACAATGAGTTTTAGAGACATGTTAAACATGCTTTTTCACATTACATCATGTTTCATGACTTTCAACTTTCATCATCATTGCTCTCATCACCTTTCATCATTTCGTCATGTCACGTCAAGGCTGTTTCCAGGAAGGGAAAGTTTTTTGCGGATCATTTTGTTTGCTAAATGGGGGGGGGGGTGGCTGCGCCTGCCCCACCCCCCCGCTCTTGTAAGGCCATCTATGCTCGCCATTGTTCATGATTTCAAACTCAAACCATTACATGCTTCTTCATGACTTTTCTGAATCATGCATCATATTTCTCATGTTGCAGCATCTTCCATCATCTTTCGGCATTTCCATGATTTTCCATCATTTTCGTCGCTTTCACCGGTTGCCACACTTGTTGCATGATATCAACATTTGTTCAATAATACTCGTGCTCTTTCACCGGATTACATCATTTCTTCTTTATTGGTTTGCACCGTTTTCATGATTTTTCATCCTTTTCCTCATTTCCATCATCACAGAATCACAGATTATGTGCACATACAAGGACAGATTGTGGAGTCTGTTGCACCCCTTCGCCTGTTCCGATTGGGGGCTCCAAGTAGCAGTTCGCTCCGGTACTGCTGTCCTGTAACGGGCCCTGCAAACAAAGCCTCCCCCCGGTACTGCCTGTACGGCGGGCACAAAAGCATTCATAAGTTTCATCATATTTCACAAGTTTTCATTATTTTATCAATATTTTTCATGCTTTTCCGCCATGTCCATCATTTCCATCATGTCCACATTTTCCCGTAACTCTTTTTTCATTTTACAGCGTTTTTCACTTCTTCTTCATCAATAATTTTCATTGCTTTAAAACTTTCAATTCATTTTCAGCATTTCTCACGAACTTGCATCATCTTTCATCGGTTGTGATTTTTAATTGATTTTTGGTTGAGGCTCTTACCTGTCAGTTTCCCAAAATCTCATACCGGTTCTTTTCTGACACGCCATCGCCCCCTATTTCATTGACGAATATTGTATGAAACCTTCTGGAAGCCAGACAGAAGCCACCAACTGTGCATGTCGGTCCTCGGAGGTTCTGCCAAACTGCAGCCCCTGTTCCCTCTTGAGCCTGTTTCAGCACCCGCTGCAAAACTTACCGTGTCTCATGCCTTTTAAAAATGCCATTCGGCGAGCTCTCTGGATATGAATTTGAGCTGTCAGTGCCATGAAGGGATGAATGTTTAGCCTGCTTCATAGACTGGCTCTGCGTGGCAAGTGTACTTGTAAGGCACTTCTGGTCGAGGCCGAGGCAGGTCCCCGAAAGCTCTGTTGATCGCTCCGCCACCAACCTCAAAGAATTTCAAGCAAACGTCGAGAGCTCTATGGTTGACAAGCGGGGCTTGCAGTCTTTGTTGTCTATGGATGACATGCGGGTCGGGAGAGGGGCGTCAGGTATGACGAGTCGTGAGCAGGGAAAGGTGTATGATTCCAAACGTCAAGGTCCTGGTGGGTTGTTGCATCTAGCCCGCTCCAGTTCACAGAGCACTTTCATGAGTACTGCAGGCGAATCCCAATGGAATAGCCAGTGTGTAGCCAAATGTCAGACCAAAGAGTCTCCCATGCTTCAGCGCGTAAACCCAAATGCAAACGGCACACAGCGATACGCATGTGCCTAGAGAAAAGCCCAAAGAGACTCTCCTCCTGTCAAAATTGGATACTGCAAACTCCATGGGCACACCGTGATGCAACGACGTCGACTAGTATTTCCTGGCAGGGAAGTAAAACGCAACGATTTCCACATTGTGGAGAAGCATCCAGTTGGGGAATGCCAGGCACCACGAAGACTTATGGCATGCATCGCAACCATGCAAAGGCCGCGCTTGGAAAATCCGAATTTGAAACCGGGCCGTGGGCACACGAAACTTCCAAGCTGAGAACAGGCGACCTTGGCCTGTCAACGAACAAAGACCGAAAGACCCTGTTGCTGACACAGAACGCCTCCCTGATCCTCCCTGTATCTCTGCTGTGAGCAACTCCCGGCGATCTGCACCAAACTCATCTAACTACTGCTCCTCGACCACTTTTCATGACATCTTGAATCTTGACCCGACACAAACCTCATCTTCGAGTTCATCCAATCAATCTGGGGCATGTGACATACAGGCGGTAGTCGCCAGCATTGCATGAGGACGTGTTGCGAGCCGGCGAATCCAGGAACAATGCCTCATTTGAAGAATTGTCCCGCCTCTTGTGCTTGGCAATACCATCTCCATATATCTCCATCATGCAGTGTTAACTTATCTTTGCTGTGAAAGCTGTAACATGGACTTGTGGTCGCCATCGCAATCCCATTTGTGTTCTTTGAGGTGAGGGCAGAGAACGACTCGGGCTCCGGGTCGAAACTGAACTGGATGCCCTTTACGTCCTGACTTGGCAATCACCCGTCAGTCAACCCTGCACGGGCGCTAAAACTTTGAACGCTGGACCTGTCATGACCTGACATGTGCAAAGTGAGCGACGGACGGCTTGCTCCATTGCTCCAACGCTTTGTCAAAATTCCACCGGACTCATGGTGTCAGGAGGTCTGCTGACAGCAAAGTGTCTGATATACTAGTGGCATGAACCAAAGGTGCTGATCTTAAGGGTACTGCGCACGTTTACAGTTTTCAACAAACACAGCACTTCACTGAGCTGCTATGGCAAACCGGTCTATTTTTTCCCCAAGTTGTCCTCCTTGCCCGTTCCCAGGCTCTTTGTCATCTTGGCATACATGGATCTGGCTTTCTTCTCGCCTTGCAGAGATTGGGAGTTCAACTGCTCACCCTCCACGGTGCAAATCCCTTCTGGATTTTTGTATCTGCTCGAAACTTGCAGGCCCGTGTCGCCTGCCTTCTTTTGCTCCCTTTTGTGCCTGCAGAAAGCGGCGGAAGCATTAAGCCTGAAGAACATCGGAGATCGGCTACATGTAGATTTCATTGACAAGCCTAAATGAGCACTCTCAAGACTTTTGGCTGGCTGTGGTATGACTACGCTGAACTCATGCTCGTGTGAGACTATCATGTTGATAGCCATTGCAGCTGTCAAGACTCTTCCCCTGGCCACTCAGAAGCAAAATGCAGCGTTGCCTCTGGCAGCAACCGTCTGGCATCGGAGTTTTTTGGACTAGGCAACGTGTCATGGAGGGATTTCTCCGTGTTCACAAACTGGAAGGTGGGTGTGACCGCAAGGGGCCCTGCTCCAGTTCCAAGAGCAGCTTCAGATCACTCAGCCTAGGGGCAGGGCAAGTGCAATGTAGAACTGCTTCAGTCTGGATTCGCGTTCCGTGGCAGAACGACATTCAAAGTGATCGTGTGTGCGTCGCACATGGGCAGGAAGTGACACTATGAGACTGTCATTTGGAAGCTGGACATGGGCCACGTTTTGGGAACAGCTTCGCATAGGAAAGAAGGCGCAAAATCCGAAGTTGGTGTAAACCGTTGGCAGCATAGAATTGCTGCATAAATCACGTAGGATTGCGGTCCCTCAAGATCTTCAACACGATCTAAAGCGACCCGTGGGCACCCAGTGCTAAGGTAACGACGCATCGGCGAAATCTCTCCGCCTCATGCCGCTGACTGAATAACTTCGTCGGCTCAGTAATGACTCACCACAATCTGTCTGCTCGCCCACTCTCTTCATGCAACTCAGCTATCTTCCCGAATCTGCACACTGAATCTGTTCATCCATTGCATCCCCAATGCTTTGCACCTACATCCTGCTTCCAAGAGCCTAGCTTCAGGTTGGCACTCGCCCGGCGGAAGAGAGCCTTGCACATGGAGTGGGTCATTGTTCATGACAACGCTTTGGCTGCTACAGCTGCTACACGACCGTGCATGCTTCGGTATGTGTTTACTAAGCACAGTTGGTGTCATTAGTCTGTGTATTCTGTGCCCTTTGGCCACCAAGGATGTGGTTGACTTCCTGACTGTGGCGCCAGGGGCAAGGTGTGACCTGACGGGAGGGAAGCTCGTTCAGGTGCTTGATGGGAATTTGTCACTTGCCGCCTTTGTTTGAGTTTGCTTCGTTGCCACCACTTCCGCTGCTGCGCGCATGGTACTGCCTGTGGCGGTGGTGCTGCTGATAGCCCTTATCTTGGTGATGGCTGTTGTCCCCGTAGTTTTCATCATTGCTGCTAAGGCTGCTTTTGCCGCGCCAAAGGAGCCCAATCACATCGCAAAAGTAATTTGATAACCGAATGTGCAGCAGTCGTAGCCGAACTACACCGAACCACAATAAGGGGATGCCGACTTTGCCATCGCCTTGAGATTAGTGGGCTCCTCTGCCAGAACCTCGGGCCAGGTGCTCCGCAAAGCCCAACACACTGCAGGCAAATTGCTTGTAGCAATGATACGAGATGCGCCTACTCAATGTATTTCATGTTATTAAACACTGATGTGCCGCTACAAATGCTGGATAGCGCCTGGAAAGCAAAAGAGATACAGCAGCGGCCACTCACTGACTGTTCAGAAGCCGGCGCCATAACGAACAGTTTTGAATAGATACAACTGGCTTCATGTGGAGAACAACCTGTGCATGTATTGTTCTCAAAAATTAGGCCCTTTCTGGTTATAGATTCTGTTACTGCACCTAAGATGTGGGGGTACCAAAATTGGACCCTCATTTTGGTCATTATCCAACAGCTAGGGTGTGCGTAACTGCTTGTAATGGGTTCTAAGATTTCTAAGTTATCAAGGGCGGTAGCTGGCAGCCGCCGGTGGGGTCTGTGTGATGATGCTTGCCCACCAAAAAGAATTTCAAACAAGTCCTTGGTCTGCCAACCACAGTATAACACACGCTTCGGCTGGATCCGTTGGCTTGTGTGCTGTACATGCATGCGGAATGGACAACTGTGATGGGATGGCTTGAATCTTAGAGCTTAAGAACGAGAACAAAAGGCCGTTGGACAAAGCTCTGGGTGAGCGGGCGGCATCGCATGCAACCTTTGCGCCATAGAAATCACCCAACTTCAGGCGGCCTCCAGAACAAAAAACAGGTCTGAAAAACCAGTTCATCTCAGCGCAGAGCTATCTTGCAGGACGCTCATATTCTGACCTCTCTGAGCCTTTGCGCCTGAGCTCCTGAAAATGTTAACGAACATGTACAACAAACAGAGTTTGAGGTGCTGGCACTGTGCTTGGTTCAACTCGCAAGTCCTGACAGATGAGGGTTCTACTGTGCGCACCGCGGTTGTCCAAGGAGTCTGAGGCCAGCTCTTCTTCAGTTCTTTCATCTGCAGTTTACCAGCCTGCAGTTTACAGAAGATTACTGAAGCAAGTCTAGGAGATCAGCTCGGGAGCAAGAAATCTTGAACAAGGTGGTGCGGACAGGATAACAAATCGACATGGCCGTTCAAGGGCACTCAGAGTAGCCTGCCAGTCTGAGGACAGCTCCCTGGATATCGTGAGATTGCTCTGCGTTAGCTCTCAGGTAGAACGTGATGTGATTAGGCTCATGCCTGATAAATCTCTGCCCAACGCCAGAGAACCTTCTCTTCAGAGACACTCGAAAATCCCTTGCAAAAGATGCCATATCGTTTCGGAGCTGATTCGGGTACCTCACTCAGCTCCTGCCACTCTTTCTACACACACGTCTTGATGGTCGGCCAGGCGAACAACTTGGTGATGGTCCGATTTAGATACCATCCCCCCACTCCGCCGCCTCTCCCCGGGCCCCCCTAACTCATATATTTCCTCACTTCAGAAGAAGGCAGCAAAAAATGAAACGATTGAATTCATCTTTATGCTTGGAGGTCAGATAGTAGACGTTGCCGTTGCTTCCCCGCACCCGGTGCGAACTTCTAGTCCTCTCTCGGGTTCCATAGCTTCCATTTTCTCCATGAGGTATTTCTGGCATCTCATCCGTGCCGCTGGCTGTGTTGGTCGTTCTCTCCGCTGAGCCTCCAACCTGCTCAGGTGCACCCAGAACTCTGGTGCTCGACGTTGCGAGCTGACCTTCCTGCTTCGGGCCCACTTCCTGGCAACTCCCTTCTTCTGGTGGTCTACTGGTTGTTCTTCTCCATGGTGGTTGTCTGTGCATGAAGGCTACTTCATCTCCGTCATGCTCCTGGTTGGTCTTCAGAGGTATGGTCAAGTCGGCGGACCGCTGCGACTCGGCCTCAGCGTGCGGAGCTCCTGGGTGTTCGAGATTCATGGCCTGGATGGTCGCGAATTGAAGAATCATCATGGCCGCAAGGCCTCTCCATGCTGCTGCCGCCATGGCTCCTGCTCTGTCGGCACAACCCTTGGCTGACTCCGATGTGCAGTGGTCCAGTGCTTGCAGCTTTCCCGGCTGTGACAAGTTGTGGATGGTTGTGTGCAAAATGTTCATGTTCGCTGCAGCAACCTTTTCCATGCTACTGGGTTTAGGGTGGCCTGGCACGTGTGGCTGGATTCCGTACTGCTGTTGCATCCCAGGTTCGGGGATCTATCTTGGTTGGCCTGGTTCGGCTCTCATGCTTTCGCGGCTGCAGGGTTATCAGATTGGCTTCCGTGTCACGTCGGGCACCTGTGGAAATCTAGTTAACCACAATTGAGTAGTGGAGTGGTAGGCTATTGCGGCGGGATTGGTGTCGGTAGTTCTGTCGTGATGGGTTGTGTGTGTTTTTTTGTGAAGGTGTTGCTGTCGATCGGTGGCTGGTGGAATTGTCCAGTCCCGCTCGGGGTGAAGCATGCGTGCAAGGTCAACACAGCTGTCAAATGAGCTCTCCTGGTCTGTCATGTTCACTCGCCATGTTTTCTTTTGTGCATCTCTCTCCCTGGGTCTGTGGTGTGTTCTGCTGTGGGTTTTGTCGCAGTCGTTAGTTGGGCGCTAGATTCTCTAGCAAGCCTTGCTTCCCCGATGCCCATGCCACATCGTACCTTCTCCTTTTCCGCCCACCCTAGCCTGTTTTGGGCTTCCGTTTTCCAACCTGGCTGCTATCCTTTCCAGCAAGCGCTCCGTCTCCAACATGGCAGCGCCAGACAGCTTGCAGAATCACAGTGCTCCAGCGTAACTCCGGGCGCCGGGCTAGGACGGTTCTGGTGCGCCTCACATTCACGCTTCCCCCGTCTTTCTCCTCACCCCTCAGCAGGGCGTCGTGGGTGACACGCACCCGCCGCCGACAGGGCTGATGCTGTGACAAAACGGGCGTAGCAGCTTTTGGAGGTGGGTCCCCGGTCCTGTCAATATCTTTCGGCGCATGGCGAAAGCAGCCCTTCCTCGTTTAACTATTTCCCCTAACACGGCTGCCACTTCGTCTTTGAGAGGTGCCAAATAAAACCCCAAACACGGTGATGTGCTGCCTCCGACACGCGATGTCTGCTTGCCTTCTTCGCTGTGCACGTATCTGGTCTTTCCGGCGTGTGTGTCTAGCCTTCTCTGCTTGAGGCTGTGCTGGAGTTTGTCCAGGAACTTTTGTAGGAATGGTCTGTAGTGGGCCCATAGGTAAATGTCGTCTTGAAATCCTGCTCCATTCATGGGGGGTGGCGGCCCTGAGTCAGGCACCCTATTCCGGTCGGCCATCTCGCTTGCGTTCTGGGTCGGTTGGAGGGTTGGGCTTTCTGGGGATCTTTGTCTGGCTCCGTTTATTTGGGGTATTTGGTGGAGGTGGCCCTGTGTCTGGATCTGCAACCCGCGTTTTCGATCAGGTCGAACCACAAGCGTGCTTCCCAGACAAACTCCGTTCCCCGAAGTTTGTCCGCTATCGTCCTGGCTAGACTGGTCTGGGCCACGGAATCAAAAGCCTTTTTGACGTCTACTTTGACAATATGCAATGCGATTCCCCACTGCTTGGCGACCTGGTCTTGCAGACTGTCCTGTAACGTCCTCGAGGATCAACCTGCCACCCGTCCCAGGATCAGTTGGCTTTGCCACTGTAACCTGCTGCTGCTCAGGGTGATGGGTCTGGTCCGGCCCCAGTCGGAGGGTTGTCTTTCTTTGGGGAGCAAAATTGTTGTGGAATCCTTGGCGCAGCGGCTCATCCGGCCGTTGTATAGGGCGTCTTTCAGTTCTGCGCGGATCTGGGTCTCCCAATGTTCGTGCCTGCGCATTATTACTTTGAGGGCTTCATAGCTGATGCCGTCTGGCCCCGTGCTTTTTCCTCCCCCCCGCGAACCTGTGCATCTTCTCATTTCCTCCCTGGTGAAGGGTTTCTAAGGGACTTGCTTGCACTCCCCTTCAAGCTCCTTCCATATGTGCGCCATTCCTTCTGCAACTGCTCCTGCGTCTTGCTTGAAATGTGTGTGAAGTTGGTTCTCCCACTCTGGCTGACAGGTGAGCTCTGCCTCCCATGCTTGTGTTCTAGACGTGCTCTTCATTGCTTGTAGGGCTTCCCAATCTCCTTATAGGACGGCTTGTAGGGTATCTCGCTGCCATTGGTTTTTCTCGTTGCCTCTCTGCTTCCACACTTGTTTCCACATCATGCTGGCTTCGGGCCCGGGCCGTGCTCGCAGTGCCTGTCGGCGCATTCGCTTTAACAAGGGGCTCTCCTTGTAGCCCCTTGTTGTTGCGATTGGGCTTTGTGATTGCTTGGAGAGTGTTCGCAACTTGCGCGGGTGTTTTGAGCTGTCTCGGTCCATGTCGCAGATTGTCCCCTTGTTTTGGCGGCCTATATGCCTGCTTCCCTCTGATGAAGTGGATGATGACCCCGTTGTGGTCACTGCGAACAATGTGTCTGAGTTCCCTGACCCCCCCTCATTGAACTGGCAAGGCGCCCCTGGTGAAGATGTAGTCGAGTCTGCGGGATTGCAATTGCGTGTTGAAGGGGTGGTAGGATGGCGTGTGGATTTGTTGCGGCGGCGCCTCCATGCCGAGCTCCTCCATCCACTGCAACAGGATTGAAACTCTGGCTGTGGCGTGTGTAAGCCCCTGCATGTGAAGGTCTCACTAAAGTCCCCCATCACCACGAGTTTCGGCTTCATCACGCGCATGTCCCTCCACTCTGCCGTCTGGTTCCCTGTTTCGTTGAGAGTGTATCTCCGTGGCAGGTGAATATTCAGGAATCCAACGTCACCTTGCTCTGTTTTCACCGTGACGGGCACCCTGTTGCTGGCAACCTGTCTGTGCTTAACTGCAATTGCTCGTCCTCTCCACTCTCCCTCTTTCTTGGCCACCACTATCATCCATGGGTCCTCTTTGCTTCCTGCCTTGAAGTACTTTTTCCCCGGTTCCGCATTTACCTCCTCAAAGGAGGTAAACTCAACGTGGTTCAAGGACCGGGCCGGGAGCGTGGGCAGTATCTCCGGTAATCTTTCCACCTGCATGCCTCCCAAATTCCACGTCATGTATGCTATTCTCTTTTGGGCTTGTTCGGTTTCTGGTTCGCCCTCTTGACACGCTCCTGCCTTGGCTTTTTACTTGGCCGTGGATCTCTCTCGATCTCACCCTCTGCTGCTTCTGCTGCGAATGTCAAACTGTCCCATGGTTCGTCTCTTCGTCGCTCTCTGTCTGTCTCTCTCTCTCTCTCTCTCTCTCTCTCTCTCTGCTGCGCTTACGGCCTTTTGTGTCACCATGCTGGCTAGAGGTGCGAACTGGCCCGGTCCCTGTCCGGTGGTTGTGCCTTTCAGGCAGTTGCCTTCTGCCACTTTCTGGCGAATCGTCTAGGGGACGTCACCCCAAGGGGTCATACGCTGTCCGCCTTTGGTGGGGTTGCTTCCAGAACCCATCCCTCGACGGGCTCCTGCCCAAAGTCATCCCCGCGGTCAGGGTGATCTGTACGCCTTCACTTGTAGCAAGGTTCATCTGTGCTGCTTGATGAGCTTGCCAGGTGCTCCGTCTCGGTGCATCCGGCAAAGGGGCCATCTCGATTCGGTTCTGCCCTGGGACTCTTGGAGTGCCAGGGGCTTGTTCCGGGTAGCGTCAAAACTGCATGCACGCATTGACTCTGCCTCTTCAGCGATGACCAGGCCTCCATGAAGGCCTTCTCCATGTCTGAGTTGATCTGGTCCACCAGTCGTTTCCACCGATCCTTCATCGCTGCTTGCTCTCACCCTGGACCGGTGGTGGACCTGTCCCCGCCAGTGGAGCAATCACAAATCCTCTGGCCGTGCCTGGGCAGAAGATATTGGTGGTACCTATGTCAAGGGCCGCCCCTGTCACAAACTCCTTGGCTTTGCGCACTCCTCTGTGGCCTGCGTCGCTGTCCCAGCTATGATGAGACCGTTCCCTTTGCTGGTCTCCGTGTACTTGTCGCCTGGGTTCCACCTTGGTCCTTTGGCTTCCAGTCCTTCCAAGCGCCTAATGGCCTAATGACGTCCTCGATGGTGGTGA